AGATTTTTGAAAAAATACATTAATAGAAAGTTTGACCAAATAAATATAATGTTTGACTTACTATTAGTGGAAAGTTCTCTTAGCATCAAAATCTAAATCCTATTTTTTTGTAACAAATTTGGAGATTCTTATGGCAAAATTTAATCTTATTTTTCGTATCATATTTTATTTTCTTACCAAAATTGAAATCAATTTTTTTTGGTAACAAATTTGGAGATTCCTGTGCAAAAAATGTGTCAATTATTTATGAAACAGTTCTAAATATAGATTAAGTTATAAACCGCGCAAATTGGATACAAATTTAGGAAGCAAATAGTTATGTAATTCTTAGCCAATTCTTCCAATCTTATTGAAAAAAAATTTCTTCCAAAAAATTGTGTAAATTTGATAAAGCCACGTGCAATTTTTGTTTTAAAATAGAACTAATATTTGGATGAGATGTACATTCAAAATTGTGTCCACATTTTTTGGTAACAAAAGTGGTTCATCATTGATATTTAAAGTCACCTTATTCAATTACTTAGTAAAAATTGTGTGCAACTTTTTAAAATTTAAATGCATCGATTTTTTTTTTTGGATTCTTATATTTTTTTCTTAACCATGTTTTACCGAGATTTTTGTAAGTTCATATTTTTTTTGGTTAAGTTCATATCATTTTCTTTAAGAAAGAGACAGTTGCATAAACATTACCAATTCTCAATTTTTTATTAGAATTATTTTCAATTCAATTTGTTTGTTACAAACATCGGTGCAACGTTAGGGCAATTCGTTTGCATTTTTAGGAAAAAATGATGTGTTTTTATTTGGTTTTAAAAAAAAATATTCGGATCAATTTGTTTGATAAAAAAATTGGTTTACTGGTAGGAAAATTGGTTTTTTCCAGAAGTAACTAATGATTCTTTTCATTTTTTCTTAATTGAAATTTAGAATTAGATTTAAAATAAATAATAGGTGAAAATCCCTAAAAAATTCTACTGTTTTTTCGACTTTAATTTTTTTTAATAAATAAGATTGTTCATGTGTGATTTTACACCATATTTATAGAGTATTTAGATCTTAGTCATTGCATTATTGGTGTATAAATTGCATATTTATGCTTTAATTCTCTATTTGTTGGAAAGGGAATACACGTGCTTGTTTTGTAGAAATTTTCACATATTTGTAGAGCTTTTGGCTATTGGAGGTGCATGGTAAGTACCTAAGACCCCTAGGATGATGAAAGATTGATGCACAAATGAGAAAAATAGAAGAAACGAGTGAACATGTGAAAAATAAAGTGCAGTTTTGTGACACGGGCACCATGCCCGTGTCCGAGGCAGTGTCACGTCAACAGAAAGAATTCGAAGTTCAGGGACCTGACACAGGCTGTGAACAAACGGCGACACGGGCAGAATGGCCGTGTCGCGTACTCAGACAGATTTTTAAAGCTTGCCTTTTTGGATAAGGAGAAGGGTTTTGGACATATAAAAAGGCATATTTACCTTATTTTGAAGGGGAGAACGTGAATACGCAAGGAGAAGAGCCCTAGAACACACAAGAGAAGCAATTGAGGAGCAAAAAGAGGATCAACTACGAAGGAATCAAGAAGATTGAAAGACCGACGAGATTCTTAGTTTTTATTTCTTCTTTCTTTTTGAACTTTTATTGATCATGTTGATTTCTAATATGTCTATGTATTTGAATTCGAACATGAGTAGCTAGATTTATTGACTCTAAGACTTGGTAGTAGATTAATATGTTGCGGTTTTGAATGATTTATTTATAATTAATTGTTTTTCTTTTGAACTCTATTCAAATATTTTGTTCTTATTCCATGTTTAGCACGTGATCAATGCTTTTGCATGTTTGACAATATTGTTCACAATTCGAGAGATGAGTTCAATATTAGGTCTTTAATATTTGACACAAATTACTTGCTTGAATCGAGAGATTAGTAGGTCGTTGTGAGAATATTAGATCTTTTGTTCTATTTGGAGTTGAATTGCATGCGTTGAGTGGAGACGCTAATTTATGTGATTTAATCTACGGTTTTATTGATCTCGAGAGGGACGATATGCTAAATCTGTGATCATCTTATAGGGTAGATAAAGGAAACATTTAGTTGTGATACTTCTGAAGAATTCTAACTGTTAATTGAACCCAACGTCTTAGAATCTATCGTTCCCATATATTTTCTCACGTGTTTTTGCTAGTTTTTTATTTTTACTTTATTCCATTTGATTTATATTTCTTAGTATAGCTAATACATCTCATATTCGATTGTCTAAATAAAGTTGAAACTATCATAATCTTGTACTTGATATAGTAATTATTTGGTCCCTCGGGATACGACCGTCCTTGCCACAGACTACGAGGGAAGCCGTACACTTGCGGTCGAGCTTTAAAAATATAGGCGAACAAGTTTTTGGCGCCGTTGCCGGGGACCAATATAAATATTTATATCAATATTATGATAGATAGTGTTGATTTTAATCTAGATATTTTTTGTATTTCTTGCTAATATTTTTTCTTTTCTTTTTATTTATTTCTTATGATGGATGAGGATGCGATAGACTATGACTGACGCAATGATCCCAAATACTCGGAAGAAGATAAACAGTGGCATGAGGAGTGTTTGATCTATTAGGTGGAAGAGCTTAAAAAGGCTGAGTTTGAGTCGAAGCTTGGTAGGAGAGAACTTGAGGAAAGAGGCATTGGGTGTGATGAATGTGGTTTGATGTTGTTACACACACCGGGAAATTGTCCTTTCTCAAGTTTACCTCCTATATCGCAAGAAGAGCTCGATTACATTCCTCCGTGCTTTTTGCCATTAGACAGTACGTCAGGAATTTCTATCATTGTCGAACAACATGAAGAAGAGAAGGATGCCATCTTTGAAGTTAAATCCCCAAAAGTTATTCTCACTGAAGGGATGATTCAAGAGAAGTTCTTCAATTCTGAGTGTTTAAAAGTTGAATTTATTATTCCATATGATGATGAGGTTGAAGTCTTCGTCATTCAGTTTGAGAGAGATTGTGATGCTAACCTTGGTGAACATGAAAAGAACATGATGCTCTCTTTTGGATTGAGTCCTTACTCGGAGAATATCAAAATTAAAAGGATGAGAAAATCATCAAAATTATTATTTAAAGTTCCCTAATAGACATTCTCGTCTGGCTGAAGACGTTAAACTTAGCGCTTGTTGGGAGGCAACCCAATGTTTACTGCTTTATTTTTTTTATTTTTTATTATTTTTTTAGTTAGTTATATTTTTGTTTTGTTTGATGGTTTGTTTTTCTTTCTTGCAGAACATTACTTTGAGAGATTTTAATGACAAAGAATATGTTTCGAGATCTATACCAAGAATTGTCACTTCTCCGGTGAAGTTTTGTAAGTCGTCTCTATTTTACTTTTATTGAAATTCTATTCTTCCCTTATGTTCTTCATATAATTTCATTCGAGTTTGGAGGGGAGATGTGATATTTTGATTTGAGAACTTTAGAGAGATGATAACAAGATATTTGCATTATCTTGTATATCATGTAGTTTCATGTTAGGTCTTATCGATTTAGCACGTTTATTGCTTTCTTAGGATTTGAGTAGACGTAGTGATCAACTTTGATTCATCTTGACGAGTTTCTTGTGCATATTTGAATACATAATTCGGGCATAATGTGCTAAGTGATGGAATTTGAGAATTTATGAAATTGTGAATTTGAATGATTGGTTGATGCTTTTAATTCATGAATATATGATCCTTTGTGAGAATTCGAGCCATAATTTTTTTTTTTTTTTTTTGTTGAGTGTATCATTCATTGTAGTTTGAATTCTAGAACTTGCATTGGTATCTTTATCGAGACCACATGGTGTGCTTTTTTGTGAAAATGATCTACGACATATTTTTGTTTG